AGCTGACCACATTTGTTATGTCTCTGCCAGGCACAATGGATTAAAGACAGGGTGTCCACCTCCCTCAGATTATAGATCCACAGTGCAGTTTCCTCAGTGGAAACTCTTGATTGTGAGCAAGTGATAGCCTAGTTACAGAGAGCAAGAACAGTTATATAGTACTTGCCTTTTATGCCTTTGTGAAAATGAAGTAAGAAACCTAAGTAAAGTCAAATGTGGTGGTACAAGCCTATAATCCCAGTACTTGGGAGGATGAGGCAGGAGGATTTAAAGTTTGAGGTCAGCTTGGACTATACAGCATGACCTTGTTTCCAAAAAACTAAATAAACCACCCCCCCAAACATATAACAACAGCAGCTACAAACTAAAAAGAAGTAAAAATCAGTGCATTCCATGGTGCCTGACAGTCTTTAAAAGTCCGTCCACTTGTTAGCTAATCTCAGCATGGAAATAACATTGAAAAATGTAAAACAAAATGTTTGCATTGGTTATTACTGGCTCCTAGGTTATATTAGAAATTTCCCACCATGCCATGTATTACTTTAGTAATAAGAAAATAATAAATTTGTTTACCTCCCTTTAGAAGGAGCTGGAGTCCATATTACAGATTCTAAATGTTCTCTTTTCCAGAGTTGGGTGGGAGTCAGTAGACATCTATTTTCAGCTACTGCCTCATTCATGAATGTGTGGAAAGCCGTGCATTCTGTTTCTGGAAGGAAGTGACAGGAAGGATAAAGTGGTTGTCAGTACATGGAGAGAACAGAAGTAGCTGTGTGTTGGGATTTGGTTTTGCTGAAGTTACCCATACATATTGGTGCTTTGCTTAGGTTTGGGAATTATATCTCTTCCTGTGGATGTATAGCAGTTACAGGAAGAGGCTGAAGGTCATGCTGACTGGGCAGGGTTTGCCTCCTGCCTCCTAGAGAGCAAGGGAGACCCTGTGCATGTGAGCCAGTGCTCAGACATTGGAGCCGGGTCCAGACATTAGGCCCTGCTCCGTCACTCCACTCACTTTACAGGGAGGTTCATTTCCTTGGGATTCAATCTTGTGTTTGGAAAAGGGATTATCATGTCATCAGACGGCATCATGAAGATTGTCCATGTTAGCTAGAGGCAAAAACACTTCTTCTATAGGCAGACAACATCTTCTTTCGCATTGCACTACTGGGGTAGGACTAGGGCCTCCCTCATGCTGAGTACACACCCTGCCCCTGAGCTCCACCCTGAGCCCCTACAAGTGACCCTGGGTCATCGAGCACACTGGACAGGTTTCATTGGAAAAGCTGCCTGTATTGCTTTACATTCCCAAAGAAACATCTTTGCCAGACTGCTTCAAAGCTGTGCTTTTAAGTCCTATGAAAGTTCATGTAAGAATAGGCCCTTGCCATGCAACCATGAAATTTGGTCCTTTTGACATGTGTTCCTCACATGAAATGTATCTGTGAGTTGAATACTCAGAAAAACCTTATTTGACTGAAGAGTACAGCTCACCTTCTTTGATAATGCAGATTAGATAATTATTTGATTTCCAAATTTTTCTTAGATATTCCAAAAGTCAAAGCTAAGTTTTATGCTTGTCCCAGAAATGCTATTGATTTTCAGGATTCATTTCTCTGCTTCCTTCATTTGTTTACTAGTTCCTTCTCGTTATATATGCTGTTTTATCATATTAATTCTTCTGCCTTGAATGCTTCTTAGAGTGAGCTAACATATGAATTCCCTAAATAAAAGACATCTGAACAACTCTTGAACAAAACCTTCTTGATACAGAGCCCAGGCATCCCTTACAGAAAGAGATCTGGTGCTGACCACAACAGGAGTATTGCTGCCCCATATTCCTGTACCATACTTCACCCTGCAAAGGCTCTGGAGTGTTAGACCATGTGTTAGAAGGCTGGTGGATCTGTGTTTATAGCAAGTGAAATCCTCATTTTGTTTTTTTTTTTTTTTTTAAGTACTGAAGATTGAATCTAGACACGCTCTGCCACTGAGCCACATCCGTAGCCCTTTATTAATCTTTTATTATGAGACAGGGCTTCACTAAGTCACTAAAGTGCCCAAGATGGGCTTGAACTAGGGATCCCCCACTTCAGCCTCCCAGACTGCTAGGATTACAGGCCTGTAACCCCACACCCAGCTCAGAATCATTCCGAAAACAGGGAAATGTTGAAAACTTTCTTTCTAAGGCTAAAAAATCAGACAGGTGTCTGCTATGACAGATTGCTGTCAACAATGCTGTGCTCTCCCTGGGGAATACTCACTGGGGAGTGACAAATCAAAGCCCTGTGGGAATCAGCCTGGCTGCTCCTCACTGTTTGGGCCATGGCGTGTGTGCCACGTGGACGATTCACTTAGACGCGAACATCTCTGGGACGCGTGGCTGGGGCACCTCTCTGCCCCTTTGCAGTACTCTGGGGTTAGGTGGCCTGGTGCGAACTGGAAATATACTTTACTATAGTTTTTAAGATGTCTTCACATTATTGTCAAGGTCCCCAAGGAATGTGATGCACAGTATTTGCATGCAGAGCAGGACTTCAGGGCTTGCCCTGCATTGGTGCCTTCTGGTCTGTGTAGGTGGCCTTTGCTACTTTCTCCCCTGCTCCAACCCGAAGGCAGGATGTCGTTTTTTCACATCTGCCTGGTGTCATCTTGTGGCCTTGACCACAGCCTTGCTGCTACTGAGAGCAACAGGGATGCTTTGTTATCTGATACGGTTTGTGTGTGTATTTTACTATTATATCACTGAGACTGCTGATATTGAACACCAGACAAGAAGACTGGTTCTCCCTGACCTTGTCTATTTGTCCCACTGACCGTGGCTTCTCCTTGAGGCTGGGCATTAGTGCACAGTGCTGGCCGCTTTCATACACCCCTCCAAGGTAGGAGGCCTATGGTGAGCAGTCAGGCAGAGGCCTGAGAGTGGCTCAGGAGTAGACTTCGGCAAGAGGGAGTGGCTGGGCTGGGTTCACACTGGGTCTGGCTGTAGAGAGATGAAAGGCAGGGTTCCTTCGCTCACACATGTAAGTGTCTCACAAGGAAGCTGCTTTTCCCCTTACCTCTGAAGTTATGCTTGAGTCTCAGATTGTAACACTGTAATGCCCAAAAGCAAGAAGAGAACAGAGTGCAGATCTTTTTTCCCCAGGCTTAAATAGATAGGGCAGAATTGACCTTCCCTTCCCCTTCCTCCCTGTCATCCATCTGTCCTTCCTATACATAGGTCTTTTAGAGGTGTGAAGAGGTCTCAAGAGGTCTGACGTGTCCCATTCTCTGGGCGCTGTGAGTGGTTGGGGCTGCTCACAGTGGGTGCTATAGAGCTCAGTCAGGACCTTCACGCTTTCCTCCAGGCACATGGAGTGGAGGGCCAGTTGCAGAATTGGGAATTTGCTGCCTAGTAAGATGTAAAAGGTGTTCCTTTTGCTTCCACTGGTAACAGTAGTTGTCTTAGTCTCCAGTCCCTCCTGTGCCCTAGGCCAAGCCATCCTCTTTCTGTTTCTCATCCTGAAGTAGGCATTGTTCACTTGTTAAACCAGCATGGCCAGGCTGACAGCTTAACCCCCTAATACTGAGTAACACCACACTTCACAGACGCTTCTGTGGGTGGCCAGAATTTGGCTTCTGTTCACCAGCTCCACATCAGTGATGGACACAATGGTGGCATCTCCCTGTTCTGACGCACGGTCGCAGTTTCCTCTGGTGGAGATTGCAGTCACAGGCAGACCTGAGAGGGTCAGACACGGCTGTGAAGATTCCCCATGGGCCGTTTAGCACACACGGTGCTGTGCAGTGTTGCTCACTCCAGCAGGGTTCCAGAGAAAGTGCAGAGCCAGCTTGGGGATAAAAAGAAAGTGTGGAGTCATAACGAAGGTGACAAGAAAATGTAGAGCAAGAATGGTAAGAAGAAGGTTTTAGGAAAATAACCATCAAATTGAAGAAGGAAAGTGCAGCACGGCACAAGCATGGCATTTGTGTGACCCGTGTGGCCTCAGCGTACAAGATGGTGACTGTTTTGAAGCGTACAACAGTCTCAACCGTTTTGAAGAATAAAGTTGCCATTAAAGGAGCTGAGGTGGTAAAAGGAATAACGATGTTAACCAAGCAGAGAACACAGAAAACTTCTGTTGGTTTGGATGAGTGAGAAACTGCCAGGGGATAGCATCAGTGAAACTCTGATCTGTGAAGAAACTGCCCTGATTTACTGCAAGAAAACCCCTCTATACCTACGAGAAGTAATAAATTTAAAGTAGGAGAGAGTGGTTTGATAAATTCTGTAAGAGAAGTGACATCCACAGTGTGATAAGAGATGTGTGTGTGGCTTCTGGTTCTGACAAGGCCATTGCAGAAGAATACAAGAAAGAATTTACAAACTGAATGTGGTGGCACAGACTGGTCATCCCAGTACTTGAGAGGCTGGGGCAGGAGGATTGCAAGGAGTTTGAGGCCTGCCTGAGCTACATAGTAAGTTAAGGATGTTCTGAACTCTACATAGTAATGTCTCAAGAGTTGGGGCGGGGTGGGGGAAAAGAGAGGAGGAGGAGAAGAGGGGAGAAAAGGAGAGGGGAGGAGAGGAGAGGAGAAGAGAAGAGAAGAGAGAGAAGAGAAGGATGAATTTGCAGAATTCATTAAGGCAGAAGGCTACGTTGCTCCACAGGTATTCACCTGTGATGAATCAGGGCTTTTCTGGAAGAAGATGCCTAACAGAACCTATGCACACAGAGGGAAAAGGCAGTGCCAGGGCACACGCCTATGAAGGAAAGAGTGACTGCTGAGCTGTGTGTGAACACAAGCACCAATCTGAAGATGAAGCCGCTGGTGGTACACTGTTCCTGGACCCCTCGGCATTCAAGGAGCAGAACGTGACCAAGGCCAGATGCCTATCACATAGAGGGCCTCTGTGAAAGCTTGCGTCACAAGGTGATTGTTTATGGAATGGCTGCACGAGGTATTCACACCCACTGTTAAGAAATATCTGACAGCCAACCGCCTGAAGAGTACCTTCTTCTGATGGACAGGGCCCAGCCCACCCTCTAGCCTTCTAAGACGATGTGGATGCTGTGTCAAGTTCCTCCCCGCAACATGACACTTCTGCAGCGATGGGCCAGTGAGTGATCTGCAGCTCCAAGAAGCTGTACCCAAGGGTGCTTTTTATAGGAGTTCTGATGTCATAGCAGAGGTGGCCTTGGCTCTGAAAGAGCTCCGCAGGAAGCATTTGAATGTCCTCCACTGCATCAGCCTCGCTGACAAAGCCTGGGAAGATGTCACCTACCAGACCTTAAACACAGTCTACAGGAACAGCAGGCAGAATGTGTCCCTGAATGTGACTTTGGAGGATCTGCTGCACAGGGAGTGAAGGAGGTCGTGTCTGTGGGCAAGAGGGCAGGTTGAAGGTGCAGACCCAGAGGAGCTTGCCAGGGACCATAAGCAGGAGCTGATGACAGAAGACCTTGCTGGCCTCCAGAGTGAGCACAGAGGCTTGTTGCGGAGCATCCACTGAGGTAGAGGAAGGCCGGGAGGAGGAGGAGGTTGGCAGCCATGGGATCAAATCCATTCTGGAAAATGGAACGAGTGCTGGGTTTCTTTAAGAAGCCCACCCCAACATAACCATGTGCAACAGTGTCGAATCTGATGAACCATAACGTAGTCTCTCATTTCTGAAGGGTTATGCAGGGCAGGAAAACAGAGACATTAGACAGGTTTTTTCATTAAAACTGATCCTGCAGTGACAATGAAGACAGGAAGCACCTGAAGGAGAGCACTCTGATGTCCTTATGGAGGGAGACTCTCCCTCCAATAAATGACCTCCTCTCCACTCTTCCTGTCCTCCGTGCCAGAAATTGCCTCAAGGTTAGTGTCCTTTTCTTTATACGACAGTGTTTTGTACTTTGTTTCATATTTTTGTGGTTAAAAAAAATATATGGTCCAAAACATTTAACATTATTTACATTGAACCTTAGGGGAAATTTTGTTTCCATTCCCAGCCAGTCTGGTTTGGGACCAGAATTGCCAAACAAATTGAGTTCATGAACCAAGGTGCTACTGTCTACCCATGTCAGTTTCCACCTGGCTGGCTGGGGTCCTGCTCTGGGAAGGCAGAAGATCAGGTCACCATCACCTGTGATGTCTGGATCCCAGCTTCCGCCTGGACTCCTCTTTAGAGCAATGCCTGCTCACCACTCGGCCAGGTGGAGCTTTCTGTCCACCTCAAAGCTGCATATGAATACTTTGATTTTACACTGTCATTCTGGCAAATGTTCTCCAAAAAAAGAAAGAAAAGTAACTGCTAGATTCGTGCTCAGCTACTTGGGTCTTCTTGGAGCTCTGTGTCTTCTCTCGTGATTATAGTAGCTCAGAGACAGAATCAGTGTTCCTTCTCTCCAAACGTGTTTCCTTTATGGCCCTTAAAGATCATTGGACTTTACTTCTGTTTCCTCTCTGAAAAATTTTATACACTTACACAGTTGCTTGTTGCTAGTGTTTGTTGTACTTCCCTAAGAAAATCGTATTTTTTCACAGATTTACTTGCAATAAATATTGGGTCGATAAATGAGTATAGATTCTTAACGAACTGCTTACTCCACAGACACTCTTTCCAACATTTCCAGAAACTATTTTCAGATTGAAACACAAGCCACAAATCACAGGCCAGTCTGCTGCTTCCCACAGAATTCTGAAGCAGCTTTTACATGGAGATTGTAAACATATTTGAATCTTGTTTATGGGGGAAATAAAAATGCATGATCACATTTTTTCTTTTGGGTAATTCATTGTTTTCTACATGAATTCAGAGGAGTTCTTTGTGTATTATGAACACTGCTACTTTGTTTTAAAAAATAGTTTCATCTTTTGTGCTCTTTTTTTTTCATGTATTTTTGTTCTCACAAAAGTATTAAGATGTCCGCACTGTCAAAGATGTCTTTTTTCCATTTTAGTTTCTTTTCTTTCTGTATTATACAAAAACATGTACTAGATCGTGGGCTACACAAATATTCTTAAACTTCTAAGTTTTTTAGATGATATTTTTCCAGTTAATTTGCTGGAATTGTTCTTTATTTCTGTTCTTCCAGTTGGATAGCCAATTGTGTCAGCATAATTAACTGTCCTGCCCTGTGAAATGAACTGCCCCCTGTACCACATCCACATCTTTCCCCACATTTTCTCTTTGCTCCCCAATAGTTATAGTTCAGCATCAGATTGTTTGGGAGCATTTGTGTTTAATGAGAAATTTAAAATACAGTGATAAAAGCATCTTCATTTTTATTGTTTTAGAAATAATTTTTTTCAAATTTATTTCTAAAATTACAAATCATTTAGGTCAAAACCTCCTTGTAACTGGAATGAAACCTTCTGATTCACAAGCATAGAATATAGTTCTGTTTGTTCAAATGTTCAAATGCTTGGCAGTGGGAATCGAACTCAGGACTTTGTGCTTGCCTGTGTACTTCTGCTAACAGTCTGTATCCCCTGCCTCTCTTTCACCTTTTAAAAAAAGATGTTTTCTTTATATAGGATGTATGCTTTTTCTAAATGTTTAATAGATTTTTTTGTTAATGGAGTTTAAAATTTTCCCTTTCTACACAGTTACTATAAAGAAAAGCTATTTTTCCTCTAATCATTATTTTACAGTGTATTCCTCCTGAGCATTTTTAGTTGAACTTTTTTGAGGCTGTTTCCTCTTTCTAATATCAGCACAAGATAGGTCATGTTTGCCTTACTTACTGTTTTATCTCCAGCATCACAGTGGGTCAAGTAGATGAACGGATAGATGGCTAGATGGGTGGGTGGTTATCTTAAAAAGACTACAAGGTAGAATTCATTGATCTCCTCTACTTTCCCCTTTCTTCCTTTTTTTAAAAATGAGACTAACATATATCAAAGTTTTAACATACTTAGATTACCTCTGCAAATAAATTGGAAAGGTCTTTTAATTGTTTTGCAACCTTTTTAAAAAAAACTTTATTTTTTGGTACCAGGAATCCCACTCAGGACCTTTTGCTTACCAGGCAGTTGCTGTGCCGCTGAGCTATACCAAAAACAACTCTATTAAAGTATATTGTATATAGAGCTGGGTGTGGTGGTGCACTTATAATCCCAACACTCAGGAGGCTCAGGCAGGTGGATCATCACAAGTTCGAGATCAACCTGGACTGCAAAGTGCACCCAAAGCCAATCTGAACCACATAGTGGGACCCTGTCTTAAAAAGAAAAAATACATAAATAAAAGAAGCATATTTTCTATGTCATAAAGATCACCCATTTCAAGTACACAATTGAACAGAATAATTTTAGTACGTTTACTGGGTGGTATATAACCATAACTATAAATGGGATATAGAGTATCTTTCTTCCTCCTGAGAAGAACCTTCATGCCCATTTATGTTAATTCCTATTCCTATCTTCTCTCAGTCCCAGGTAATCTTAAGTTACTTTTTGTTTCAGTGGATTTGCTTTTTCTGGGAATTTACTAAATATAGGATGATACGGTTTAGTGTTTCTTATTCTAGAACCTTCTATAAACCTTCTATAATCATGCATGTATACTCTGCTGGTTTCCTTTACTTGGTGCACAGTTTTTGAGTTTCTTTGGTGTTACTGTGTTGATCTGAGAACTCTGTTCCTTCCAGAGGACACCTGGGCCTGAAACGAATGTGGCCTGGTTACTTACACATATGCCCACTGGCGGACACCTGAGCTATTTTCAGTTTATGTTTATTAGGAACAGATGTGCTGCTTACTGTTCTTCTACTAGTCTTTTTATGATGTGATTTCATTTTTCTCATGTACATACCCAAGAGTGTCATTGCTAGGGCATCTTTGTTTCTGATTTTAATGGAAATCGTTTTTGTATGACATTTGCTTTTGATAGTATTTATCATGTTTAAGCAGTTTAATAAAGCTTTCCATCTTTTACTTAGCTGCTGAATTTTACCAACTATATTGTGGAAATTCATTTGCTTCTCTTATTTGTTGATATAATAAGATTTATGAATTTCTTGAAAATGAACTTCTATATTCCTAATATAAATCTGACAGAATAGGATTTCACAGAAGAGGAAAGTTAAATGACCAGCAAACATGGAAAGGTTGTCAACCTTAGTTTTAGTTAGGAAAATGTGTATTAAGGTAATATTTTTACACCACTTTTTACTAATAAGATTAGCAAAAACAGCAGTGATTTCCAGTGCTGAGAATTTAAGAAAAAGCACATTCAGTGGAAGGAATGTGAATTATTGTAACCTTTGGGGAAAGCAGTTTGGAAAATATTTTAATACTAACATTATATACAGTCATTAGATCTTCAGTCTCAAATCTTAGAACCTATTCCTAAAAAAATAAAATTACTGAGATTCAGGTATATAAATACAAAGACCATTTTGCATAGTGACAAGAACTTAAAGGGAAGAATAATGATTGTGTGTGAAATCTATACAAAGAAATTCATTTGAGGTTATGAGTTTGATCCCCAGTACCCCCCCTCCAAAAAAAGAAAGAAAGAAATTCGTATGAGTAATAAAAAGAATTAGTTAGATCTTTACTTATTGATCTGTATTTCTGGACTTTCACAATTTTTAATTTTTTAGTGAAATAAGCAGGCTGTCCACAAACTTATAACTGACAATTAAAATTTTGTAAAACAGATCAGAAATGTGTGTGTGTGTGTATTTGCCATCCTATAGGCAAAGGAAAAAATTTGAAAGATGTGTTTTAAACTGTTTGCTAGCTGGAGGAGTGGGGATGGCTAAGGAGAGATCAAAAGAGTTGAGTTTTTTTTTTTTTTTTTAAAGGAAAGCAAAGATAAAGCAAGTGTAGAGAAAGTAAAATTAATAGAACATAACTATTTATATAAAATAACATTTGTTGGAAAAATTTCATAATGAATTTGGTAGCAACATAGATTGGCTTAATGAAATTATTTGCAGCTGTTGATGAGTAATATACATTTGTTTAGAATGCATTCTAATTAAAAATTCAGATTGCAAAAGTATATATGCTATGGCTCCAGTTATTGTTTTGTGCTAATATGATTGTGTGACTCTCGGCTTTTTTATTTTTTAACCTTACATGGAAAAAGAGCAGAAGTTATTTCTAGAAGTATGAGTCAACAAAATACCTACAGTTGTGTACCTTAAAGTGTACTTTTCTTCAATAGCTGTAATTTCATGGGATCTGGGCGTATCTTTAATTAGCTGGTAGGCTGGTTGAGGCTAGGAATCCCTTCCTAAGAGCATGTGTCATTCTGATTGTTGGGACAGCAGGTCATAGCTGTGGACAACCCTTCTGGGAGAGAGGGCTCCCCAGGGGAGACCAGGGCACAGTGTTCAAAGGAGAACTCCTGCAGGGAGCCTACTCTGCTTGAGTTCCATGCACGGTGCCAGCTTGGTGCAACTACTGGGATTGACCATGGTGACTTCTAAAGTTTTTTATTTTAGCAGTTCTTAATGAAAATTATGTATAAAATTGGTTTATTCCTGAGTCTTTTCAAGTGTGTGCCCCATATATTTGCTCTGTTGCTTCCCTTCCTGAGGAGACTTCTAGTCTCTGATCTTTGTATGTTGGTGTTTGCAGCCTGGTGGGGTGAATGCCCACAGGACAGCAGCCCCACCAGCCTGCTGCTCTGTGCCTGTTCACGGGAATAACAGACCCCTTCCTGTAAGCCTGGACTGCCTTGCCAGACTGCTCATCTCCTCAGTGTCCTCGGTCATCCAGAGCCTCCTTGTCCTTCTACAAGGGCAAACAATTGCAGGGGATTTCTGTCTTTGTGTGAGTGCTGGCAGAGCATGGAGATGTCTTTTTGGTTTTTGCTTTGGTCAGAAGTCATGAAGACACTGAACTACTTCTGAATACAC